GAGAGAGAGAGAGACAGAGACACGGAAACTCTTTAATTACATTAACAGAAATTACATTAATTTAATCTTTTAAACTAATTTCTTTTATTTAAAACGAATATTCCGAGCTCAAATATCTCAATTTATTTATTTTTGAAAACTGTTCTTTTATATCGCTATTAATTTTATAAGACGTCACCACCTGCGATTAGTTTGATTTAATTTCGCGATTAACTGTTTGCAAATAATTTTCTTATGATAATCCACATTATAATGGTCTCAATACAGGATGCATTGTTCAATAGCGTCACCGTAAATTGTCAGACTGCACACGTGACCGGCACGATGCCATTGCGCATATATAAACGACCGCGAGGAATTATTATGCAAAGTTTGTACAGCGAACGATCGTCCATTCAATTTGGCCGAAGTATAACGTGCACATAATGGGGCGGTTCTGATCTATACAGGTGTATCGGTGGTATCGTTGGATAAATCCCTCGAAGTGAATCACATATCCGCGCGAGTCGGGGACAACGTTGAGATTAAGTGCGACGTCACTGGAACACCACCCCCGCCCTTGATCTGGCGCCGTTATGGTACAGACGTGGAAACCCTCAGCGAACCGGAGGTATTCTATTCGAACGAGATAATAATTCGATCTCTATCTTTCGCCGTTAGCTTTCTAGCCGGCTCTCTTCAGTCTATTAAAGACTGCCATCCACAAGCGATGTACGAGAAACGTCTATATGTCTCTTTATTTGCTTTTTGCTATTAAATAATCTTTTAAAAAAATGTTTCTTTCTTTCTATATTTCTTTTTACATTTATATTTTTCCAAATAAACATCAAAAATTTGTATCGCTTCCAATCAATAAATAAAAATCAAAATTTTTTATCACTTTGAAATGAACAATAATTTAATGTGACGAGCCAACGGCTCGTGATATAATCCTTATTTTAAATGATAAATAAAGCATATTATATTTTGTCGAGACTCAAGATCACATAAAAGAACACTTTGTAGATTCGTGTCTTCAATGACGGCAGTCTCTATCTAACGAATGTGCAGTTGGAACATGCTGGCAATTACACGTGCCACGCTCTCAGGAATCAAGATGTGGTGCAGACTCACGTGCTTACCATATACAGTAAGTTTCTCAGACGATATAATATAAATTGCGATAGAATTGGGATCAGACAGATATTTATTCTGTTTGAAATGCAATAAAATATTATCAATTATTATTTAAAAAAAATTATTTGAAAATAATTGGGAATGATATTCCTCAGCTGTACCTGAAGTCAGGGTAACACCACAGTTTCAATCTAAACGGCCGAAGGGGATGGCGAAGATGAGATGCCACGTGGTAGGTGAGCCTCTCCCACATGTACGATGGCTGAAGAACGACAAACCCCTGAGCGAGGATCAGCCAGACAAGTACGAGGTAATCGGGAATGGTACCAAGTTGTTAATCAGGAAGGTCGATTATGCCGACACCGGGGCCTACATGTGCGAAGCGACCAGCATGGGGGGACTAACGAGAGACATTAGTAGTTTGGTGATTCAAGACCAACCTACACCAAGTGAGTAAAGAGCAATCTTCTGCCTTATGAAGGCTTTAATGAAGGTAACATTAATTGCTTAGAGAAATATATCTAATTAAGGAAATATTATTTAATCTATAATTTAATAAAAAAAAAATATATTCTCGTCAATATTTCTCAATAATCTTTTGCTCTCATTATCAAGTTATAACTTTAAATTATTCTATCATAATCTTTTTATTATCTTATCATGTGTCTTTAATTAAATTTTGCACGCAGTTGCAACGGATGAAGAACGCAGATTCTTGTCTTTTCACGAATGGGGAATTTTAGTATACGAACCGTCTACGTGTCATGCGTTACACGAAATTCATTCCACAGACATCATACCTGGTACCCAGGTGCGAAATCAGTGTACATTTTTCTCTTTTTCTCTGTCATCTCTTTATTCAACATCTTTACTATCCTATCTATTTTTAGGAATACGTCTGTGGGCCTAGAAATGTTCCATGTTCTTGGGGACGTGCCATAAATGTCGCTGACAGATATGTGTACGTTAGTCAACCAGACAAGAATCGCGTGCTTGTAATTAGCGAAGTGCAGATGATGATAATCGATGTATGTTTTTTTTTCTTCCCTTGTAATCAATCGGAATGTCATCGAATAATTTCAATATAATTACTCAGGTAGTGGCTACAGACAAAAACCCCGTGGATCTGTGGTACGTACAAAACCTTGATCACGTCTGGGTATTAAATTGGAGGAGCGAAATGGATGTTGGCATCAAGACCGTGCAGGTAATCAAAGAAGCTGCTCAACGGAAAAAACACCATACCATGCGACTAGAGCCTATCGATGCGCAATTCGATCTCGTGAAAGGCCTGTATATTCCGCAGCAACGGGTACGTATACTATTATTTTTATTTTTCAATATCGCGAAACTATATGGATCACAAATAAATTTTTTCATCAATATATTCTTTGACTTGGATCATATTGTCGGTCGTTGTGGAAAGTTATATAAATCACTGGCTGTATTATCTAATTACAAAAACTTATATTTCTTAGGATACAAAACACACGTTTAAGTACGGTTACGTGACCCATGCGAATCAGCATGGAATGTATAAGCTCGATCTAGCTAACATGAGATACACTCGTACCGTGAACCTAGCCAACTACAATTGTGTGCCAACAAGCATGGAATTCTCCGATCTTTGTAATACATTTCTCATTACTCCAATATTTTTTAATTTTTGTTTTGCCTCATAGACAGTCGAGTCCATTTATTCTTGAATACATCGATGATGAGATTCTATTGATTTTATTCTAGATGGTTTTGTGATACTGGAATGCGAAGAACTGAACACTGGTCGACCGACTGGTCAAGTACTATTGGACTATCTTACTGATAGCGTTCTAGCTCATAAACCGAGCATCCTGGGAAAACCGGCAATTTCGCCTGATTCCAGATATCTAGTTACTCTTGACAAACAAAACACCGGTGTCACTCTCGTGGTGCAGGAAATATTATGTAATATACTTTGCTTTTTGCATTTCCGTTATAATAATATGAAATGAAATAATTTGGAACACATTAACAAAATATTGTTAAAGATTACTTATACTGAAATATTTTATGATTCGTCAAGTTTAAAATATTTTTAAATTTTAAAATAATAATTCCTATGTTATTATTGTTAATGGCTGAAAAATTGTTTAATTTGTATTAACAATATATAAATATATATATATATATATATATATATATATATATATATATATATATATAT